GCTAGACTGGCAACACCTTCATCTTGAGTATGTTCGGAGTCGGAGTGATAGCTTCTCTCGGAGTGATTGTCGGAGTCGGAGCCGGATACCCATTCACCAACATGAGCTTGATGTCTTCGTTTTGTGTAGCTCCTTGATGACTTGTCCTTCCTTTCCGAATCCTTGCTCTCCGGGATGTTCTTCGTTCATAACGATCATCTCTACTCCTTCTCTCTCTTGGTGGTGATTCTTCTCTTCTACTTCTCCTCTGAGGTGATTCTTCTCTTCTTTAGTAGGGAACCGTACTGTGACACCTCGAGACCGATGCTCCAGTTTCCTTCCATTTATTTTAGTTATTGTCGTGTGTTTATTATGTTTGTTGCCATGATCATGTTGAGTGCCTTGTCATTATTTGCTTCTTGCTTCATGATCATCATTGTTTACATTGCATTGTGCCTCTTGTCATTTTGCATTTCATCATAATCAGCATGTGCATTGCATTCTTCATGATGTTGTCATGCTCTATGCATGTTGCATGTGACCAAACCCCTTGCTATGTCTCTCAAATCTACCCATGCATCAACACCTCCTTCTTCCTTCTTATTCTTTTCATTTTTGCTAGTGCCATTTTCTGTCCTCAATAAATGTTCATTCTTTTCCTATAAATCCTGCACTTTGCCTACATCCTGTATGCTAATTTTCAGCCCATTTGAAAGTGTTTTGGTTGGGTTAAAAAATGGCTCAAGTTTGAATTTAATTCAAACTTGAGTTATTTTTATATCCTTAAAAATGCCCAAAGCAATTTATTAAAATTCTGCACAAATTCTGGACTCCAGGGATATTCTCATATCTCTCTCCACTCTCTCCATTATTCCTGTGCTTTTCTGTCTTGTTTTCTGTCTGAAGAAAAGAAAAGAAGAGAAGCAGCAGTGGCAACGGAGCAACCCACTAGCACTCACTCCCCGCAGCCACCTAGGACTTTCTTTCCCCGGCCCAGCCGAGATGAACGGCCACCTGCTCCGCTACAGCGCTGTCTCCCTCCTCTGCCTTCAGGAGCGCCAACGCCATGAGCTCTCCTTCACGAACGTTGAGGCTAGCACGTCCCGCTCCCCTATAAAGCCCCAAGCCCGCGCCCTAGGGTTTCCCTCTTCCCCTCTCACCGCCGCCTCAAGGCCGCTACTTCCTCTGATTCTTCTTCTTCTTCTTCAAGAACAGAGAACACCACCGAGAGCTTCGCCCTCTCCTACTTGGTCGGAGGCCACCACAGTCATCTCCAGCATGTACATCTTCTTCGTCCACGTCGACTACGCCCGTTCAGACGTCTTCCCCAAGTCGGATCGCCAAGTTCCACGCCGAAGGCCTCCTCCCCTGCTTCCACTGCTTCACGGACAGCAAGTCCACCGGAGATCTTCGCCTCCCCGCCGTCAACCTGTTGCGTCCCCGGCCACATCTTCTTGTCCTAGGTATACTAGGTATACCCAGACCCATCCCTGATCTTTCCTGTTGCCGACCGATCCCTGTACGCGTCGCTAGTTTCGTGCCTTCGTCTAGCTATCGGTGCTCCGGCAAAGTCTGCAACGTTTTTCTGTAGTTGTTGGGGTTGTTGTATCATGCTCGTCCAGCCCCGATCTGGATCCCCTCGCGCACGCATCGCCCCGCGTCTGACCGCTCTCTGCAGTAGCGCCGCGCCTCTGCTTCGCCTTGCCGCCGTGAGTTGCGTCGCCCGCGCCGAGCCGTGCTCGCGCATGAGCCTGGCCTCTGTCTCCGCCTCACCCCGCGCATATACGCCACATCCGTTGCACGCGCGCACCACACATGATTCCGCACGCCTACCGCTGTAGCTCCTGCCTCGCCATGCATCACCGCCATGACCGCAAGCTCCTGCAGTCCTGACCACACACGCGCGGCTGCACCTCCACAGCACACGCTCGCGAGCTCACGCCAGCCCCACGCCCCCTCCGTGCAATGTCCTTGTTCCAACCAACAACCATGGCCGTGATCTCTGAACTCTTGCACACGGACGCCCCTTGCTGCACCTACAAATGCACTGCACATACACCCTCGCTTCCACACACACTTGCGAGCATCGCCGCGCGGCCCGAGGCACCCAAGCGAGCCACCTGCTGCTCGTTGTTGAGCTCCGTCGTGAGCACAGCCAAGGCCGGCCCTTGTTCCTGTTGTTTTGCCAGGTTCGCACGAGCTATAGTTCAGTTAGTGCCCTTCTGTTAACTGTATGCGAATACAGTCCAGGCCCCCAACCGACCAGAGATCAAATCCCCACGCGCACAACCTTTTTACCCCAATTTTTGCTTCACCAAGATCAAGCTTTGTTCCTGTTTCATAGGCCGTCAAGTCAATCTTTAGCACAAACAGTCAGTAGCCCAGTGGCTAGCGCAGCCACTCCCAATCCAGGAGGTTCTGGGTTCGATCCCTCGTTCTCCCGATTCCTTTTCCCCCCGTGTATTGTTTTTTTCTCCAACCGTGCACATAGGCCTCATTCGCTTCTGGGCCGGTGCATTGTGATGCTTCTGGCCCGTGCATATGTTTTTTTCCAGTCTGTGTATTTTAGCATTTTTCCAATGCATTCTTATTTACAGAAAATGCCCATGTTTTGTATTGTTAATAACTAAACATGCATGCATCCAAATTAAACAAGCTATATATTTAAAATGCCTAAAATTTCATCTAGTTTCATAATATGCTACTTTCATCTATGTTAAAAATGTTTAAACTTGTTGTTTGTTTAATTTTGCATAAATGCCATGTTAAAATGATTTATTTCATAACTAAATAACCGTAGCTCTGTTTTAAATAAACTTTATATGTAAATGGGGTGGAAAAATGCCTAGTTTAACATGGTGCACTTTATTTTCCTATTTAACAACACTAAAATATGTTTTAGGGCAGAACAGTACCAAATTCGAAATATGCATATGGGGATTTTTCGGAATTGTTGTTTGTTGTTCCGGCCTCATTTAAACTTGCCTAGATAGGTAGTTTAATTATGCTTCACCTCTTGCCATGTTTAAAAACATTTAATATTGTTGTGTACCTAAACGATATTAAACTAAATATGTCAATGTGGTGTTTTGTCAATATGCAACTCGTTGCATATTGAGCTCCACTTAACTTGTAGTATTGTTTGTTGCACTTTGCCATGCCATGCCTCATTAAACCGGACATGCATCATACTTAATTGTGCATCATGCCATGATTATGCTTGTGTGTTTACCATGTTGTTTGTTTGTTTCCGGTGTTGCTTCTTAGTTCCGGTAATGTTGCGATTGTGAGGATTCGTTCGACTACTCCCGTTCGTCTTCTTCATGGACTCGTTCTTCTTCCTTGCGGGATTTCAAGCAAGATGACCGCTACCCTGGATCTCACTACTATCATTGCTATGCTAGTTGCTTCGTTCTACCGCTATGCTGTGCTACCTATTATTTGCTCCTCAAGCCTCCCAAATTGCCATGTCAACCTCTAACCTTTTGCACCCTTCCTAGCAAACCATTGTTTGGCTATGTTACCGCTTTTGCTCAGCCCCTCTTATAGCGTTGTTAGTTGCAGGTGAAGTTGAAGATTGCCCCATGGTGGACAGGATTATGTTGGGATATCACAATATCTCTTATATTATTAATGCATCTATATACTTGGTAAAGGGTGGAAGACTCGGCCTTATGCCTGGTGTTTTGTTCCACTCTTCCACCCAATCCCCTCAAAACCCCTTGAATCCTCAAAACCGTTCCTTTCACAATCCTCTTTGTTTAAAATTTCCATTTGGTAGAAAGGGTTTGTCATGTTGACATAACATGTTGTAGAACATTTAAAAATCCAATCTTTACAATGTAACCAACTCCCCTTATATCCTTTGCTGCAGAATTGATAAAAATGACTTGAAATCAATATCTCATCACGGCAACTACATAATTTATCATAACAGCATGTTTTTGAAACCCAAATCCCAACATTCATAATTTATCATAACAACATAATCTTTCACAGCAAACACCCATCAGATTTTGCCCAAAGTGTGGTTGAGCAAGTTGTAAACATGAGTCTCACAGCAGTCCCCAAATGAGATGTCAGGAATTAGCTGGTACACTTCACTTCATCAGCTCTCCTTCTACACGCAAAATCCCCTTTTTGATCATGTCAGGCGATGTCTCCCTTTTCACAGCGGTATTCTTGCTCCAATCTTCAACCATGCAAACAAGAATGAACAGTCAATTACAATGTATACATTTCTCTGAATAGTATATATGGCTTGAGATGGCAGAACATGTTACAGTAATTAGATGAATGAAATGCATAAGTGTCCTATCAAAACAATAACAAAAAAAGTACCATGTTCCCAATGCTGTTTTGATACACGATATGGGTGAAGTGACATGACACTTCCAGAAACAAGGATACAACAATCACTGGTCTGAAATGATAATACAAGGCAGTCCGGTACCAAGGCAAATCACAATTTATAGTACCAAGGCACATGCAAACACTCTTACGACCAAGAAGAAGAAAACCTCAAACAAATCAAAAAAGAAAAGAAGAAGCGAGCGAGGGGCAGAATCACCAAAATTATAGTACAATTTATATACAGAGGACCCTAACATAAGCATCCAAGCACACAATTTCAGAAGATGTGTTAAAAAAAATGTGCCCAATCTAACAACCGTATAGTACACTCTATTATTCCTAGCTTAGATGCACTTCTCCTCTGGTATGTAGTTGTAGTTGACCACAAGAGCAAGATTGTTACCTTAGATACGTTGATGCAACTCGGCCATTTCGCTCTGAAGAAACGCAGCAGCACTATCTTCATCTTCGGCAGCAGAATTCAGAAAAATCTCACGATTCTCAACACTTTTGAACACTTTGTAGGCAGCAGCTCTTTCATGGCGGCGGATGCTTTCCATCTTGTGCAAAATAGCAATGCACTTGCTGATGGAGAACTCTTGGGCATTGTTTGACCCTGCCAACAAAACAGACTCCTCCGCCGCTTGCTTTCATTTGATCTCCACATATTATGCCATCACCTCCACCATTGGGTCATGACGCTTCTTCTTCTTGGGCTCCTTCACTGGCTTCTTATTTGAACCACCGGGAGCACCTGTTTGGGCAGCATCTCTTGGACCATCACTTGGGGCAGCATCTCTTGGACCATCACTTGGGGCAGCATCTCTTGAACCATCACTTGGGGCAACATCTCTTGAACCATCACTTGGGGCAGATATAGTACTTCGATTAAGACTTAAGAAACAAGGTCTAGAGGCCAAAAAGCTTGTGTAAATTACCGAACTTAGGCGTGACAATTGGATCCCAAGATGGAGGCAACTCGTCCACCCCAACAAGAACCCAGGCTGCTGGCTGTCAAAATAAGAACATAACAGAACCTCCCAATCAGTAATTAAAAATGAAACAGGAAAAATCATGTATATTCCAATTTGCAATCATATCATATCATATCATATCTTTCAGTTCAGGCAATACTCCAATTTGCAATCAAGTACAGACTCAAAACATGAACTCACAGTATCTATATAATCTGGCAAACTGTCATTTTACATAGCTTAACAGTTAGGACCAGACATACTATCAATCTAAATACAGAGAAAGTTATACCAGTTGAAGAATGTCTCTGTAAAGATTTGCAAAATATGCGCAGCTGTATCTTGCTGGTACTACACTAATCAAGATGTTAGATTCTACACATAGCCACATCAAATAGCAGCAAACAGAGAAGGTGAAGGCTTTGATTCTACACGTAGCGACATCAGGTAGCAGTAAACAGAAATGAAATCCGCGGCAAAACTCTGGCGAGTCAATACAGACTTTACAAAGCGACCCAGTAGTTCAGAGACGAGAGGAAACTGACCACCATTTTATAAGGTGAGGTTTTGGGCTGATCACTAAGCATGAACATTCTCTGCTATACAAAATTGACTTGTGGGATCCAAAAATATTTCCTTATTGGCCCATTCAAGCTATTTCTAACTGGACAACCTGTAATCCGCAACCTACTTATGAAAGAACTAGTGAAAGACGCCATGATTTACTAACAACCAAGAAAACGAGCAGAAGAATATTCTACACAGTACAAGTTTCCTTTTCAAATAGAACATACCACTGCACCGATAGATTAATCTATTAGAAAAAAAAGTCAAGCAAAGATAAGTTTAGGGTGGCTGACACCCGAGAAAGCACATACTTGGCTCTTATTCAATCATTCAAAACAATTTTGAGAAAACTGAAAATAAGAGAATTCAATTGTCTCCCAGAGAACATGTAACTTCTAACTTTAGCAGCAGCAGTGCAAAGAACAAGTGGTCAAACTTGAGCAATGAATTATATAGAACAATAGTAACTCCAAAATTCAGCTAAACAACTACAAGTTGCCAATTACACACTGGAAATGCAACATACAACAGATCGTCCAACAACAGATAACTTTCGGTTAAATTCAACCAACCCATACAAAAGAGAAGCAAGCACCAGGCATATCAGCACATACAGAAAACAGTTCCAACATCAAATTTGCTCCATGGTCACAACACATATCAAGATCACAATCACTATTTAACAATCTGCACCACACTGCCATTACAATCAACAATGAAAAAGTTGGTTTACAATCTGCCAATTTATTCTCAACACACAAATTTATGGCAATCTCGACAGCTAGGGTTAGGGTAGAAGAGGACAGCGTTCTTGGCAAGCTAGCTAGGTAGGGTTAGGGTACATGTGGAGCTGGGGGTAGGAGACGCCATTCTTGGTGTGCTCGCCGGTGAGGACGAGGCGGACAGAGGGCGTGCAGGAGGTGGCAGCCATGGAGAGGAGGGGGGGAGGGGCGGGGAGGGGAGGAGCTGTGATGACTAACCACCGGTGAGAAATCCAGTATGCCGGAGGAGATCACCGGCGTCGAGGCGTCGGGTGGCGCGGCGACTTGGGGAGGAGGCGGCGCCGGCATCTTGGGGAGGAGGCGGCGTCGGCGGTGGCGTCTCGAGACGAGAAGCCAAATCCTCGAGGGGGGCCTTGATGATTCTGAACCGCGTGGGAACAGGTGGATCGAAAGGGAATCGAGGGGATTGGGCCGTCCAAACCGCGCCTACCAAATGGGCCAACGGGTATTTGTGGGGATTCTGGGCCTCGCGGGGTTTATCCTCTGAAAACCCCTCCGATCCACGCGAAACAATCGAGGCCTTAATGAGAACGTAAATATCTTAAGGATATAAAAATAGCGAGATCTTTCATCATGAGTAAACAGGGTAGCTATATCATTCAACTTGGTAAGATGTGCCACAACAGTTTCAGATTCAAGGCCATAAAAAGGATCAGATTCAACTAAAGTAATAATTTCAGGATGAACAGAGAATTCATAATCCTTATCAGTAACACAGATAGGTGAAGTAGCAAAAGCAGGGTCGGGTTTCATTCTAGCATTAAGAGATTGCTGCTTCCATTTAGCTAATAACTTTTTAAGATCATATCTATCTTTACAAGCAAAGATAGCTCTAGCAGCTTCCTCTTCCATAACATAACCCTCAGGAACAACAGGTAATTCATAATCAGGGGGAGAACTTTCATCATCACTATCATCAATAATAGCATCTTCAATATTTTCATTCCCCCTAACTCTAGCAAGTTGTTCATCAAGAAATTCACCTAATGGCAAGGTAGTATCACGCACAGGAGTAGTTTCATCATGCATAGCAGAAGTGGCATCATCAATAACATGCGACATATCAGAATTCATAGCGGTAGCAGGTTTAGGTGTCACCAGCCTACTAATAACAGAAGGAGAATCTAGTGAAGAGCTACATGGCAGTTCCTTACCTCCCCTCGTAGTTGAGGGCAAAATCTTGGTTTTAGCGTCTTTCAAGTTCTTCATAGTGATCAACAGATATAAATCCCAAGTGACTCAGAGAATAGAGCTATGCTCCCCAGCAACGGCGCCATAAATTAGTCTTGATAACCTAGAAGTGTAGGGGATCGCAACAACTTTCGAGGGTTAAGTATTCAACCCAAATTTATTGATTCGACACAAGGGGAGCCATAGAATATTCTTGAATATTAGCAGTTGAGTTGTCAATTCAACCACACCTAGATAACTTAGTATCTGCAACAAGGTATTTAGTAGCAAAGTAGTATGATAATAAAGGTAACGGTGGCAAACGTAAAGATAATAGTTTTTGGGTTTTTGTAGTAGTTGTAATAGTAGCAACGGAAAAGTAAATAAGCGAAGAACAGTATGTGAAAAGCTCATAGGCAATGGATGAGTGATGGATAATTATGCCGGATGCGATTCCTCATGTGATAGCTATAACATAGGGTGACATGGAACTAGCTCCAGTTCATCAATGTAATGTTGGAATGTATTCCGTAAATAGTCACACGTGCTTATGGAAAAGAACTTGCATGACATCTTTTGTCCTACCCTCCCGTGGCAGCGGGGTCCTAGTGGAAACTAAGGGATATTAAGGCCTCCTTTTAATAGAGAACCGGAACAAAGCATTAGCACATAGTGAATACATGAACTCCTCAAACTACGGTCATCACCGAGAAGTATCCCGATTATTGTCACTTTGGGGTTGTCGGATCATAACACATAATAGGTGACTATAGACTTGCAAGATAGGATCAAGAACTCACATATATTCATGAAAACATAATAGGTTCAGATCTGAAATCATGGCACTCGGGCCCTAGTGACAAACATTAAGCATAGCAAAGTCATAGCAACATCAATCTCAGAACATAGTGGATACTAGGGATCAAACCCTAACAAAACTAACTTGATTACATGGTAAATCTCATCCAACCCATCACCGTCCAGCAAGCCTACGATGGAATTACTCACGCACGGCGGTGAGCATCATGAAATTAGTGATGGAGGATGGTTGATGATGACGACGATGACGAATCCCCCTCTCCGGAGCCCCGAACGGACTCCAGATCAGCCCTCCCGAGAGAGATTAGGGCTTGGCGGCGGGTCCGTGTCGTAAAACGCGATGAAACTTTTTCTCTGAATTTTTTCTCCCCAAACGTGAATATATGGAGTTGGAGTTGAGGTCGGTGGAGGTCCAAGGGGCCCACGAGATAGGGGGGGCGCCCAGGGGAGGGGGTGCACCCCCTATCCCGTGGACAGGGTGTGGGCCCCCTGGTCTTGATTCTTTCACCAATATTTTTTATATTTTCCAAAAAGTGCCTCCGTGGATTTTCAGGACATTCCTGAGAACTTTTCTTTTCTACACATAAAACAACATCATGGCAGTTCTGCTGAAAACAGCGTCAGTCCGGGTTAGTTTCATTCAAATCATGCAAGTTAGAGTCCAAAACAAGGGCAAAAGTGTTTGGAAAAGTGGATACATTGGAGACATATCAGCTCCACTTGAGTGGAGCATTGTCCTTCTCCTTCGGCCACAAGGGGTTCCTAAATGGGTAGGATATGACCAACACCCATTCTTTTTATGGCTTGGGGAGGAATTTCATCACCTATATCACAAGTACCACTTTGATCCACTTGGGAGCTGTTATTCTCGTGAAACTCCACGTTACATGTATCCTCAAGGAGTCACGTGGACTTGTTGAGGACACGGTAAGCATGAGAGTTTGTAGCATAACCAACAAATATGCCATCATAAGCTCTAGCCTCAAATTTAGACAAATGTACACCTTTCTTGAGAATGAAACACTGACAACCGAACACCCGAAAGTACTTGAGGTTGGTCTTGTTACAGGTAAGTATCACATATGGAGTCTTGTTCAAGCCCTTGCAGAGATAGATGCGATTGGATGCATGGCAAGCGGTGTTGATGGCTTCGGCCCAAAAGTTGTAGGGAGACTTGAACTCCGCCATCATGGTCATTGCCGCGTCCATCAACGTCCGGTTCTTCCTCTCCTCTACACCATTTTGTTGAGGGGTGTAAGGTGCGGAATATTGATGCTTGATCCCCTCATCACTAAGGAACTCAGCCAAGCTGTAGTTCTTGAACTCGGTGCCGTTGTCACTTCTTATTGTCAAGATCTTTGCATTGTGTTGATGTTGAGCTTCATTTGCAAAGTCGATGACGGTTTGTTGAGTCTCACTCTTCCTCTTGAAGAAATATAGTCAAGTGTATCTCGAATAATCATCCACAATCACCAAGCAATACTTTCTACCCCCAAGACTATCAAAGGATGGAGGCCCAAAGAGATCCATGTGAAGGAGCTCCAAGGATCTCTTTGAGTAGATGATAGACGTGGGAGGGTGAGCCTTCTCATGTAACTTTCCTTCGATGCAAGCACTGCAAGCATGATCTTTGGCAAAGCTAACATTTGTTAGTCCACGGACATGGCCCCCCTTGGGAAGACTTTGCAAAGATCTCATATTGACGTGGGCTAAACGGTGATGCCAAAGCCATCCCACATCAACTTTAGCCATTAGGCATGTCGTGGTCCTAGTGGGTCACTCCGAAAGTTAATCACATAAAGACCGTTCTCGACATGCCCAACAAAGGCTACTTTAAGAGTCTTGCTCCACAAGAGGGCCACGGTATAAAGATCAAAGAATGTGGCAAAGCCCATGATTGCAAGTTGACGAACGGGAAGTAAATTGTATGCAAGGGACTCAACAAGCATGACTTTCTCGATCGTGAGATCATGAGAAATGACAACCTTGCCAAGACCCAATACCTTAGAAGACGAGGCATCACCCCACTCGACATTGGTGGGCATAGATGAGACCTTGTGCACATCCACCGCCAAGTCCTTGCTTCTAGTCATATGATTTGTGGCTCCACTATCGAGCAACCATGATCCCCAACCGAAAGCAAACACCTACAAGAAATCAATGTTTGGTTTTAGGTACCCATTTAGTAATGGGTCCTTTGATGTTAGTGACAAGGGTCTTAGGAACACAAATAGACCATTCAATGTACTCATAAGGAGAACCACCAAATTTGGCATACACATGCCCATCACTAGCACGACATAGCACATAAGAAGGGTTCAAGTCGCCGGCTTTGTTGGAAGGAGTGGCGATGCCCTTCTTGACACCACCACCATTCACATTGTTCTTCTTCTTCTCCATAGGAGCACCCTCTCCCTCCTTCACGAAAGTTTGCTTGAGAGGAAGAGGTTATTTGGTGATAACCCACAAGTATAGGGGATCGCAACAGTTTTTGAGGGTAGACTATTCAACCCAAATTTATAGATTCGACACAAGGGGAGCCAAAGAATATTTGAAGGTATTAGCAGCTGAGTTGTCAATTCAACCACACCTGGAGATTAATTATTTGCAGCAAAGTGATCAGTAGCATAGTAGTATGACAGTTTTGATGATAGCAGTAGTAGTAACAGTAACAGTAACAGTGATAGCAATGATATTGTAGCAGTCACGATAGTAGTAGCAATAGTAGTAACTTAGCAAGAACAATATGAGATAAATTCATAGGCATTGGATCGGTGACTTGTTGGATGATATTCATCATGTGACAGTTATAACCTAAGGTGATATGGCACTAGCTCCAGTTCATCGATATAATGTAGGCATGTATTCCGTAAATAGTCATATGTGCTTTATTAAAAGAACTTGTATGACATATTTTGTCCTACCCTCCCGTGGCAGTGGGGTCCATATTGGAAACTAAGGGATATTATGGCCTCCTTTTAATAGAGAACCGGAACAAAGCATTAACACATAGTGAATACATGAACTCCTCAAACTACAGTCATCATCGAGAGTGGGCCCGGTTGTTGTCACTCCGGGGTTGTCGGATCATAACCATAGTAGGTGACTATAACTTGCAAGATCGGATCTAAAACATGGATATAATGATGAATTCATAAAC